CCAGGAGTCTGAGGTTGCTGTGAGCTAGGCTGATGCCACGGCACTCTAGCCCAGGCAACACAGTGAGACTCTGTCTCAAAAAAAATAAAAAAATAAAAATAATTAGGGCCCATCAAATTTTATAAAGACTAAGCATCTTCTATTTAAAACTGATAATACACGCTTTTGTTAGAAGCGTCATCATTTCAAATTATTAACTGAGCAAAATATGCTTAAGAAATATGAAAGTCAAAAACATAATGTTATCTGCAAAATCTCTGTAATGAATTAAGACAACTTTAATGTAAATGAATGATTATAGTTAAAAGAATTGCAAAGGTAACCTTAATTTCTGAAAATATGTGGAAAGTGTGAAAGACATAAATTATACAAATTTTCTAGTTAGTTACAGAACTCTGCACGACACGTAGGTCCCTCAACTCTCAGGCACAGATTTCCACTAGGACAATATGGCTATTAGAAATGTGAGACTGGATATTTAGAAGACCATGTTTACTTACCTGTCCTCCATAATAAAATTCTTCAGAATCATTATCACCTTCAGAATCTTCTTCCACTGTACTATTCTGTCTTGACTCCTTAAAAATAATAAAACAAAAAAGACAATTTTAATGGTCAAACTAGTTTGCCTCCTTTCTAAAATAAAGTAGCAAGTGGTCATAATAGGCAGGTCTTGCGCATATTATGTGGATTTTATATATAAAACATTCTTCCTGCAGTACAACCCCAAAACAAAAGGTAGTGAAAGACAAACAGTTTTGTGGGTACATTCAGCTCGTTTAAAGGACATCTTTTTTTAAAAGTTCTCTTTCACTGATCTTAAGTAAATTATGCAATTTAATATTGATGCATATTAATAACACATATAATCAAACCTTTAGTTTTTGCTCTGATAAAACATTTGGCAAGCTCATACTGATTCAATTTTTATTAAAAAGTTCCTCAGCATTATTTATCCCAGATTGTTCTCACTTCCACTGCCAACTCTAAACAGTGGTATGAAAGAAAAGAAACAATGAATGAAATAATACAAAAATCAGATTATAAAAATAAATATGAATCACATTATGAAGAGAACTTTCTGTACACAGAAATTGTTTCTTTTAGAATTCAGATTTCAAAAGAGTATTTAATTTAATATGCTTTAATGTGAAATTTGAGTTTTTAATTAACTGAGCCATATCTGTTATATATCTAAAGTACAAACAATAAAAATTCATGATGG